AAGCATGGACTTGGTTGGTGCCGGAGGGGCCATCCAAGGAAGTGCTCAAGAGCAGCTCCCACTCCCGAAAGGGAAACCGACTGTGGTGCTCCCGGCTCATGTGGAGTGGTGCCCCACCTAAGTACCATACGGCTTATTGGTCCTCGCCCTTCTTAGGGGCTTGGACCTCCCCTTCGGGATGAAAGAGGGGGCGTAGAGGTACCCATACCGGGCCGTTAGACCACGGTGTTTCGCCCCGGCATCCCGAAGCAAGTGTTGCACCCAAGACTTGGGATTTAGAGGGTCCCATAATCAAGTCTTGTGGTACCAAGGGATGTTAGGAACCTGGAAGCTTGGTGTGCTTGGTTGCTTGTGCTTGCGGGGAGTGTAGCCGAACTTTTAGTCCAGTCTAACCCGGGGAGGGGGATTAGGAGAGATTTGGGTATCCGTGGATGGATGGCTAACACTCCGTTGCTCGTGCAGTGAGTAGCTGAAACCAAGTAGGACCAAGTAGGGGCTGGTACCATAGGCGGGAACCTTGGCAAGGGAACTTAGCAAAAGCCAAGGCAGTGTTGGACGGATAGATGAGGTAAGCTGGCAAATCGGAAAGGAAAAATTTGTGGCTTACAATTTGGTATCGGAGCCTTTTCCTTAGTTCTACATATACTTAAAAGACAAGCTTTGTGTACACACTTTAGTTTCTAGTCAAGGAAGAATCTTAGTTTGAATATAAAAATTAGGCTTCAAAAGTGCGTATTTGGGTCTAAGGACACGACTTATCTTGGATATTGTATTTCTCGTAAGGGTATTCTAAAGTTCCCTACTCTGAAGTGTGTAAATGATGTGCAGCACTTCTTGGGCAAGGTGCAATATCTCGGTCGTTTTGTGGATCATCTTTCTAATCTTATTGCACCGTTGCGAGCATTGCTGAAGTCATCAATGTCATCTTTCATCTAGTTTTCGGATTGTGAGCGGGCGTTCGTGGATCTCAAAGGGCTATTGACGACTCCTCCGGTTTTGGCATATCCTGACTACGCTCAACCTTTTATTTTGCGCGTGAATGCTTCTAATATTAGTCTTGGAGGAGTGTTGATGCAAGAAAGCTTGAGTGTGCCTGGTCAGCACCATCCCATTGTGTATATAAGCCGTATATTACAACCAATAGAGATGAACTACTCCACGACAAAGAAGGAGTGTTTAGCAGTAGTCTGGGGTTTTGAGAAACTTCATGCATATCTATATGGTTCACGGACATTACTTGAATGAGACCCTGCTGCTATTACTTCATTATTGAAGTGAAAGAACCTAGTTGGTCATACTGCTTGATGGGTTTTGAAGCTTTAAATATATGATTTTGATGTTGTTTATCACCTAGCGAGTTCTATGGCTGATGCTGATGCCCTTTTTCAAGCTCCTCTTCCTTCTCCACTCTCTTCTCATGTTTCTGATGAGCCTGTTGTTCCAGCATCTGTGGATTTTCTAGACGAAGATTCTATGCCATCGGCAATTGCTGTACTTGACATTTAGTGTTCACAAGGCATAGAGCAAGATCTACCTTCTCATGATGAGGTTCGCGAGGCTCAAAAGTTTGAGCTGTGAATTCAAAGGCTTTGAGAGGGGTTTGAGAATCCTGCATCACTTGCTGATAACTTGCCTTTCTGGCATTTATATTCTCAATACCGCCTTGAAGACAGCCTTCTTTATTTTGTGGGGACAGATCTTGATGACCATTTACGGCTGGTGGTGCCTTCTGTTTTTATTCCACAGTTTCTCCATGCCTACCATGATTCTTTAGTTTTAGGTGGGCATATGGGACATTGTCGTGTAATTGAGAAGTTGTGTAGGTCTTTCTATTTGCCAGAGATGCGATGTGATGTTATCTGGTATGTGTGTAGCTGTGTTTGGTGCTAAGCTCATAATACTCCCTTTCGTGCCACAGAAGGACAGTTGGAGTCAATTGCAATTTCTCATCCATTTGAGTTGATGGCATTTAATTTTATAGGACCTTTTCCACAGTCGACTGCTGGTAATGAGTATATTATTATTGCTTCTGACTACTTGAGTCGTTGGGTGGAAGTTCATGCTCTTGCTAGCGCCTTTGCAACTGCTCTTGGATACTTCCTCCTCAATCGAGTGGTGTTCCAGCATTCTTGTCAAGAGTAGATTCTTTCAAATAATGGTCCCGCATTTATGGCTGAGGCATTTCATATTTTGACGTCTCTATTGGGGATACGCCACACTTTCACGAGTGCTTATCATCCACAATCAAACGGTTTGGTAGAACGGCCCATTCGAACATTCAAAGGGATGATTGCGAAGTATGTGAACTTTTAGCATTCGAATTGGGATGGTTATTTGTCACTTATTTAGTATGCATATGTCACAGAGGTGTAGAGTTTTGTTGGTGCTTCACTATATAAATTCCTATATGGTCATGATCCAATATTACTAACAGAGCTTGGTTTACCTTTATGATTGCCATGAGCTACTGATGCTAGGTCATGGGATCGGTATTTGATAAGTATTCTTCCACTTGTCCGAGCAGAATCTGCCGAACACTTAAGCCACGTACAAGTGGGACAACAATAACACTACAACTCCCATCATCATCCACCTGCAGAGTACAAAATGGATGATTTAGTGTTAGTCTATAAATTTCCCCATGTTATGATATGTAGTTTATCTAAGAGGCTCCTTGCATAGTGGAAAGGATTGTATCAGGTGTTGCAGCAAGTTAGACCACAAGTTTACGAAGTTTGGCATGACGTCAAGCAAGCTAATCCTCTAGATATTGTGCATGTGCAACGGTTGAAATGCTTCATACAAAGGGATCAGGAGCAATTAATACCCCTTACAGATCCACCGATGCCTCCTCTTAACGTTCTTCCAGATCTCGGCCTGTCTATAAGAGAACCCTGATGGTTTTCTATTATTCCAAGAGGAGGGGATGATGTGAGGGCCAAATGTACGGTTACGATGCTGTATACTAATATTAGCATAGTGGGATTTTAGTAACCGTCAGATTAATTTCAATTTAAACCACTTGCTCTTGTATATAACCTAGGGTTTTTGGGCTAATTGATATGTATATTTTCTGTATTCCCTTTCCACATTCCAAGCACTCACAATATGTAATATATCTTTAATTTTTATTAGCTCAAAAATATATTTAAAATTTTGAAAATGCTTTATAAATATATATAATTTTATACTTTTAAAATGATAGTGTGAGTGTATAGCTCATAATCATATATTTGACATATAACAATAATATAAGATGAAATTAATTGATTCCACAATGTGATAGAATGTTTATAAGAAAATCCTTATTGCAAAATGGAATTTTTTACCATGTTTATTTATGTAAAACATTTTAAAAATATTGCAATTCAAATATTATTTTGAATTAATATAATTTTACATATATTTTACTCACAACTAAAAGGATACTACTTAAGTTGCAAACTTCACTCATTGGTAAATATACACTTTGGCTTTAAGGATTTAAATAAATTATGAAGTTTTTCCACCTATAATAGGTGTAAATTATTTTTCTATTTAGTGTTTTTCTTGACTATTATTTACCTTTTAAAACTGCATAAGAAGTGTTATTTTTCAGTTGATTAACATATACTTGTCTTTCAGTGTCTATCTCTATTAACTTTAATCTCTACTAATCTCTGAGTATTTCTGGACAATTGCTAGTATGATTCATATTTCTTATTATTATAGATTGCTTGTATATTCTAAAAATATGCTTTACAAATTTGTGAATATTTTAATATTATTCTTCTTCGAATACTAAATGAATAATGATTTTTAATAGGAAAGCGAAGTCTTCCTAGGGGTGCAAGCTACAAATTTCAGTACTGGCACCCAAAGGATTTTTCTTGTGCGGCATTCAATGCCCATCAGAGTTGACAATGAAATCCTCGCAGCAGTGCGTGACGAATCTCCATCATGGTTGCCAGATGAATGATTCAATCCAATCCATCAGCCATTGTTAAAAGTCTCAGAAAAATCACAACTAACTCCAGATTCCAAATTCAGTGATGAAAAGATCAAAGCACCTAGCCTCACAAATAAAAAGAAAAGAAAGAATGATCAATCAACCAAGATGACAATGCTCGTTTCTCTGCCAAACCATGTCATCTCCATTGCGGTCCTGCTCCTGCTCTTGGTGAAGATCGACCCAGCAATGGCCGTGCTGCTGCTGGATCATCGCAGAAGAAGAGTAGCAATGCATCCGATTGCTGACGGATCCGGGCGAGCAAAATGGGGATATGTCGAGAAAGGGAAGATCCGCCCAGTACTCCCTGCCCCGATCGAAGTTCCTCTCGTAGCTCTCCGTCTTGTAGTGGTGGAGCGGCGGCTGTGGATCTACGCACATTGAGTCGTAACACGACGATTGGATCTTCCTGGCCTCGGCCCGCCACTTGCGAATCGCCTGCTTCCACTTTGGCGGCCTCTCGTAGCCGCTGCCGTGGTGGTGATGGTCCTTGGAGGAGCTGTTCTTGGCGTTCTTGGCGTCCTTGCTCCGCCTCCTCCTCAGACCGCCGAGGCAATCGAGAATCCAGCTCTTGCAATCGAGAGCAATCACCTGCTGCTGCTGATGCTGATGCTGCTGCTGATGCCGCGGGCGCTGCTCGTCGATAGTCTTGTCGGCGCTAGGATTCTTGGCGCCCTCTTCTTGCAATGTGGATGCCGAGGCGGGCCAAGACGCTAGAGACGAGGGCGAGAGCACATTGTAGGCATTCTCCACGAATCCCATAGCTCGATCGATTGATTCTTGATGCGCTCCGAGCATCAAGAATCCATAACAGCTAAAACTCCTACCAAAACCCTAGATGTGGAGGAGCGAGCGAGCGAGAAAGAGAGAGAAAAAGGTGAGGTTTGTGTGAAACGGTCGCGCAAACGGGAAAATTAGACAGCCGTCAGATCTGGTCAAAGGTGACCACCGGCGGTTGCGCGCTCGATTCCTGGGGAGTAGCTTTAGGGTAGCCATAGGGATCTCTGGTTCGATTCCCAGGCAATGCAGCGGCCCACCACGTTAGGCGTTCTATTCTCGCGAGTGACAAGGCCATGGATATGCATCATCCATTGGGCGTACAGTATATATGTGTCAGCTTGTCAAGATCTTGGCTGCTAGGGTTTGCTAGCGCTCTATGGTAAGGCGGCGGCTGTGAGAAGAGATCTCGAGCTCGCGAATCGCCTCGCGCGGTGCACCTCGGCTGCCCTGCATTGTACAGATAGGTGAAGGATCTCGCGGCAGCGATGGCGGAGACGGCGGGATTTCTCACAGATGAGCAGCGCAAGCTGATGAAATCGGCGTCGCTGACCCGCGAGAGCTCCGCGGAGCTGCTGTCGCCGAGGGCGGCGTCGGGGAAGCACCACGAGAGGAAATCGCATTCGGGGAAGAATGGGCGACCTAAAAAGGGTATGCTTTCCTTGTAGGTAGGCAATAACTTGGAACTGTGTTTTGGCATGTAGGTGGCAGTGGTGGCAAGGGGACTTGGGGATCCGTCATGGAAGATGGTAGCAAGAGGGTTCTTATTGATCGAAACGATCCTAACTATGACAGTGGAGAGGTATGCTGATAAAAAGTCTCTTTTTCTCAAGCCCTTACCAAAAAAAAAAACGTTCTTTTCTTGCAGGAACCATACCATCTGATCGGTGCTCACGTCGCTCAGTCGTTACAAGTGTACAAAGAGAAGGTTGTATATATAGTGGAGGAATATTTTGCTACTGGCAACGTCGCGGACGCGGCCACAGATTTGCGAGACCTCGGCTCGCCGAGCTACCATCACTACTTCGTCAAGAGGCTGATTTCCATGGCGCTGGACAGGCACGACAGGGAGAAGGAGATGGCGTCGGTTCTACTGTCGGCCCTCTACGCCGACGTGATGGAGCCGGACCAGTTAGCCAAGGGATTTACCAAACTGCTCGAGTCGGCGGACGACTTGGCGCTTGACATTCCGGATGCTACCGACGTCCTGGCACTTTTTCTTGCTCGAGCAGTGGTGGACGACATTCTCCCGCCGGCATTCTTGTCCAAGACGCAGGCTGTGTTACCGGACGGCTCCAAGGGCCTCGAGGTTCTCCAAAACGCCGAGAAGAGCTACCTCAACGCGCCGCTGCATGCAGAGGTCGTCGAGCGACGCTGGGGTGGCAGTACCCAGACCACCGTCGAGGAAGTGAAGCGCAAGATCACCGACCTGCTGAAGGAGTACGTGGAGAGCGGGGACCAGGCCGAGGCCCGCCGCTGCATCCGAGAGCTCAACGTGCCTTTCTTCCACCACGAGGTGGTCAAGAAGGCCCTGACTCTGGTGATTGAGAAGAAGAGTGCCGAGGCCGGGATCGTGTCCCTCCTCCAGGAGTGCGCCGACGAGGGTCTCATCTCCTCCAACCAGATGTCCAAAGGCTTCTCCCGCGTTTTCGACGCGCTGGAGGACCTCTCGCTGGACGTCCCGCAGGCCCGTGAGATTCTCGAGGACCTCGCAGCCAAGGCCATGTCCGCTGGCTGGCTCAGCTCCTCGTTCGTCACTCCCGCTGCTGCTTCTGCTGCTGCTGCTGCCGCCGCTGCTTCCAACGACGATGGTGCTGCAGCAAACGGTGACACCGCCGTCGACGATGCTCATGTCTTCAAGCAGAAGGCCACCGGGATCATCCAGGAGTACTTTTTGTCCGACGACATAGCGGAGGTGGTGCGGAGCCTCGAGGACCTGGCAGCCCCGGACTTCAACGCGGTGTTCGTCAAGAAGCTCATCACCCTGGCCATGGACAGGAAGAACCGGGAGAAGGAGATGGCGTCGGTGCTCCTGTCGGCTCTCTACGCGGAGGTGATCCCGGTGGGGCAGATTGGAAAGGCGTTCACGATGCTGCTCGAGTCGGCCGAGGACACGGCCCTGGACATCCCGGACGCCGCCAACCAGCTCGCTTACTTCCTTGACCGCGCGGTGGTGGACGACATACTCCCGCCGCTCTACCTGGAGGAGATCAACGAGCAGCTGCCGGAGGGGTCTCTGGGAAAAGAGATCGTCCACTCGGCCGAGTCCATCCTGGCGGCGCGGCACGCTGGGGAGCGGATCCTGCGCTGCTGGGGAGGCGGCACGGGCCGCGCGGTGCTGGACGACGCCAAGGACAAGATTGCCAAGCTGCTCGAGGAGTTTGAGAGCGGCGGCGACATGGGGGAGGCGTGCCAGTGCGTGCGCGACCTGGCCATGCCATACTTCCACCACGAGGTGGTGAAGCGCGCGCTGGTGATGGCCATGGAGAGGAAGAGCGCGCGGCCGCTGTGCTTCCTCCGCGAGTGCTCCAGCGAGGGGCTTATCACGACGAGCCAGATGGTGAAGGGATTCGGCAGGGTGGCGGACTATATCGACGACCTCGCGCTCGACATCCCCGACGCCAAGAGTAAGTTCCAGGGGTTCGTGGACGAGGCCAAGGCACAGGGCTGGCTCTCCAGTGCCTTTGGAGGCGCTGCGCAAGCCAATGGTAGTGCCTAAGTGGTGCGCACTCCCTCTCTCGTTTTTTTTTTCCTGAAATTATATGCTGGTATCTTTGACTTTTAGTCCACCCTAGTAAACGGTCAGCCCAGCTCGTTTTTGGCCCTTTTGACCGTCCGTACGGCTGACCGGTGGGCCATGACGCACCGCCGGGCCGTTTAAAAACACACGGAAACGCATGGCGACAAAACAAACGATTTGGAAAATGGGGGGAATATTTGTTACGAGAGGAAGAGAAGCCGTACGGACGGACACGGCAACGGCCCGTCAGAGGCCCGCGATCCCACCGTCAAAGCCGGTGCGATCTGGGCCGACCAAAATTCCCTGCGTTGGGCGGAAAGAAGTCGATCTCTCTTCCTTCCAAGTTCCAAGTGAAGTGTCTGTTGTCTGTGACTTACATGGTTCTCTGTGCGCTGTGTACTAAGTTCCTCGCACTGCTACTGCGCGCTGTGCTCGCTGGATTGGATCGATCGCCCCCTTTCCTATCCATTTACCCATTGGGTCCGGGGGATCGCATAGCACAGCACGCGACGCGAGGAGGAGAGAGAGGAGGGAAGGGGGAATTGACGAAGACGAAGGGGGGAATCCAGGCTTGCACGCTTGGTGGGCGATGACGAGTGCTTGATGGGCTCGATTCTTCGGCTGCTGTGCGTGGTGGGTTCTTCGCAAATTCCAGGGATTTGCTCCGTTTGTCACGCAGGGGTCGATCAGTGAGGGGAAAGAGGAAGAGTGTTTTGGAAGAGGAAAAGAAGGGCCGTTTCTTATCGTCACATTGTCGTTTGTGGGGCACGCCACGGCACTTTGGTTCTTCTTCACCTTCCTTCTTTCTTCTTTTCTCGCGTCGCCCCTACTGTGGATGATTGACGACTGCTTCGTCGTCGTCATCTAGGAGCGCTCTAGTCGCGGCTGAGACTGTCTCGTCTTTAAATTCCTCCCTTGCTTCGCCCCTTCTTCTTGTTGTTCCTTCCTCTTCTTCTCCGTCCTCTCATCTTCTTCAACCTTCTGCCCCTGTCGGAGCGAAGAGATCCCAGAAGCAGCGTGCCGCAGCTTCTCAATCGCTTCACGTGCTTGACTTTGTACAATCGATCCAATCCTAGCTACCTGCTGCTCTTCCACGAACAAGTCGTCCTCGATACTGCCAAATCCCAGGGGTCGAATTCAAGTCCAAAACGTCCTCGAGAGGATGGCGTGTCGACTAAGTGGAGGGTAAGCGCCCCCCTCTTCCTTTCTCTCTCCAAAGCGTGTCCATGGGTAGCTGATCGGATCGATCGTCTTTCCTTGCGATCGAAGCATAAGAGCATTAGAGGGAATGGAAGTTCTTCAGTACAGGTGCTCGTCCGAGAGAGACCGGCAAATCGAGGAGGCGGCCAGGTCGGGGCTGGCAAACGTCCAGGAGCTCCTCCAGTTCCTGGCCGACCAGCAGCGCCACCGCAAAGACGATGGCGATTCCTCCTCCGCCTCCTCGCTCAAGCTGGGCTTGAATCCAGAGGGCAGCGCCGCGGCCTCGTCGGCCATCGCAAGCTTTCGAAAGGTGTCGAGCTTGCTGGGAAGGACCAAAGGCCATGCAAGGTTCCGAAAGGGGCCCAAGGGACAGACATCGTCTCTGGCGGGATACGAGCATGCATTCGTGGACTCCTCCAGCGCCGCCGGCCACTACCGCCCGATGAAGCAGCAAATCCATCCCGATGAAATCCACCATCGCCATCTCTCCCAGCAGCATCAAGCTGGCGGACCATCCTCGTCCACGGATTTGAGCCTCCGGCAGCAAAACGCTCTGGCGGTGGCAATGCACAGGCGAGCGGTGGAGGAAGAGAGGCACAGATTGATCCAGCAGCAGCAGCAGCAGCAGCAGGCCGAGATGATGTTCCAGGCCAAGAAAAACCAGGTATTCAACCTGGAGAATTCGATGGGATCGCGCTCGTATATGTCGTCGCTAAGCATGCAGCAGGATCATCACCACCTCCACCACCATCCTCACGCAATCAGCAACAACAACGCCGTTACCAACAATGCCACGACAAGCAGCGGTGACGTAAAAGCTGGCTCGTTATTTGGGCTGCTCCCACCGATGAGCCAGAGCAATGGCTCCAACGTTTCCAGGAGGAAGTGCGTGGGAAAGCATGAGGAGCTCGGTATCAAGTGTGCAACGCTCAAGTGCCATTGCTCCAAACGGCGGTAATGTGGTTTTTCTCCGTTCGCTTACGACGCTTGTCCTCTTAAACGAAACCATTCTTTTCGTTCGCAACAGGAAGCTGAGGGTGAAGAGGACCATCACAGTTCCTGCAATCAGCAACAAGCTGGCCGATATTCCTCCGGACGATTACTCTTGGCGAAAGTATGGACAAAAGCCAATCAAGGGCTCTCCGCACCCAAGGTATGTAAATATATTGGTTTGTTGGTCAGTCGCTTCTTGTTATGTTTTCGTACTGCCACTACTCGTTTGTTGCCATGCTAGAAACTTTTCTACAAGTCTTTCGTGCTCGAGTTTTTCTATCAACTGGTTCGACTTTTCTCCCAGCTTTAAATTTTTTTTCTTTTCAGGGGGTATTACAAGTGCAGCAGCATGAGGGGATGCCCGGCCCGGAAGCACGTCGAGCGATCCCTGGAAGACCCTTCAATGTTGATCGTGACTTATGAAGGCGAGCACAATCACACGAGAAACAACAATAGCAACAACACCACCACCACCAACAATAACAATGCTAACATCAACACCATCGCCACCACCACCACCACAACCACATCCAACTACAACAACAGCAACAATGGGATTGTCAGTGCTAATGGAGCTGGTGTTGCCAGTGCTGCCGCTGCTCCTAGTTTGGTGACTCACTCCTGATTCTTTTCTTTTTCGTTCGGTTTTTCCTCTTTAGATTTTGCCTGCTTAGGTGATTAGCTCGTACTGATTTGAAAACTTGTCTAAGCTGCTCAAGGACAAGGAATGACAACTAACCTCCTGTCTCTTTGGCATCCCATCTGTGTCGTGCCTCATGTCTCTCTGGGACTAAACGATGTTTATCATAATACGTACTGTAATCAGGTTAAGAGTGAAAATGACAAAATTGTTTTTATTGACAGATCCGTCGGCCATACTACCACCTCTTGGTTTCCCAAAGCAAGCTTTCCTGTGTCAAAAGGTAAAACTTAATACCATAACACGAGTAGCTTCTGCACCAAGAAATATGATATGTAAAGCTGGATTGTACAAATATGTCACAAAGTTGGAAGAATGTGGTAAATGAAATTTAAACATCAAGTCAACCAATCAAAACAAGAAATATTGTTCTCCCTGATCTTATTGAAGTTTGTAATACTTTCTTCCAAGGATATTTTTATAATTTGAAAAAAATAATATGATTATAATTTTATTTTATCATAATTAGATAAATTTCAATAATAAAAATAAAAATATAAAAATATTTACACAATTTCTTAGTAGACCACACCATGTCATTTTTTGTCATTTTATATATATTTTATTATTTGACATATAAATATCATATATTATAAAATATATATTTTGTTTTATAATATTATTTTATGAGTATAGAAATAGATATATTAATTGGGGTTTAGACCCCTACTTATATACAAGAATGAATGAACAAAATTCAATTCTAAATGGACAGTCCATATACTTTAGTACTATAATTAATATATTACTTAGGTAGGGTAATACATACATATATATATATAAACATTCCATCCCTTTCAGAAAGTGAAAAAGTGATGATAATAAGTCAAGTGGAACATTTGGAACTTCTGCTGGTGATTATAAATTACCATAAGAATTTGAAACTTCCACAAAACCACCAACAAATTTGCTAATAACCTTAACTGAAATAAAACCCAAAACCATAGCATAAGCATCAACCGATTACAGAATTTTAGTGAACTAGTTGCAACTTCATATACAACTCCTAAATGCTCAAACCAACAACATAATCATAACTTTGAATTGAAACAAGAGACTTTGAAAGTCATTATAATCCATAAAGCACCATTGTAGTAAATAATATATCTTGTTTTTAAGTTTGCTTATTGACAATTCTTCAAGACCACCATTAACTCAGACTTAGGAGCATAAATAGAACAACCATTGTTCTCATTTAACACTCCATATGGGAGGTCGGACTCATTCAGTTTGTCCTTCACATCCTCCTTATCCCTTTGTTGAAGGAAAGAAAATTTGTAGCATTAGCTCCATTACACTTGTCTTCATTCTATTATCTATGTTTAACCTCACTCCACTATTATATCTATTCCACCTCACTATGTTGGGGCTAGATGTTCCATTCAGACTTGCTATATTCGTCCTTACTCCAGAATTCATGTCGTTCATCCTCGCTTTACTATTGTATCCATTTATCCTCACTCCATCGTTAGGGCCAGACTCCCATCTGTCCCCTCTACCCACTCCTCCAAAGAAAAAAATATTTGAAATATTGGGGTAAAAAAGATAAAATGAGAAAAATTGAAGAAAAACCATTGTGGAAGAAGAAAAAGTGGATAAAGAAACATTAAAAGAAGAACTTGCAGCAGCTAGCAATACAAATATAAGGAAATCAAAAGAAGGATATATGCTCAAAACTTGGAAAATATAAGACTTCCTATCATAAAATACTTTAGCCATCACAATATAAGTAAAAGATTCATACCACTCAACCTCCTTAATACACAACTCAATATTTGAGATGGGAAAATTAATAACAACATCTAAATGCTCAAGGGAATATATAAACTCCTCAGCAACAACGGTAAAGCAAAGACTTTTAGCAGCACTCACAAATGGGGACATGTATTCAACTTGAAACTTTAGCTAAAGTGACTCAACCTTTGGAATAAGGGAATACTTAACACAAGAATTAATCAAAAACTTTGCCAATATAACAAAATTAAGATTCTCAATTTCATGCACATATTTAACATTTAGATTAGTATGAGGAGGACAGAAAACACTCAACTCAACACTAAACTGAAAATGAGAATTATCAAAGTCACAAATGATCGACGTGCCAGGAGAAGAAAACACTACATATGTGGAAAAAATACTAGAACTATGAGAAGGTGGCTTAGGTCGAAAAATAAAAAAAGGTTGGGAAAGAGCAAAGGTAAAGACAAAAAGATTAAATGGTAAATTGAAATATTGATACCTACTCCACAAAATTTACACTTCATCTCCAAAGCTGTCTCCATAATAATCAAGCTCGTTAAAATGATCTAGAATCCATTTGAGCTCATACATATCATCTTCCCATAAACTTGATCCTCAAACATTCTCCAAGAATTGGATTGCATCATCCATAACTTGCAAATCGATAAATTATGCTTCACATCAACGAGAGATGGTAAAACACTAAGAATAGGATAAGCTATATAATTACATCCTACAAAAGTTAGAGATGGCAACACACCAAAGATGTGTGCAGCACCAACATGATCACACATCACAGCACCAAAAGTTCGTATAAGTAATTAATTTTTCCATTCTACTTTAGCTGCTTAACCATATCTTTGACCATTTAGAAGAGTCTCATTCACAAACTTTATAAATCTTATTCTTGACTTAGAGACATACTAGCCCCATGAATGACATCTATACCACTCAATTTTTGCACTTGGTCCAAGTGCTCTATATATCCAATCCCATGACCGACACCCAAAGGTACCATCGACATATCATCCTGTTATGCTAAAGCCATACCCATTCACCTTTGTTACATCAGTAATCCAAGACTATCTGCATCACAGTCCCGTCTTTTAAAGATTGTGTCATCCGTTTATGAGTGATCATCAATTGACTACACTTCAGCACCTTTAGGATGCCCCAAAACATGGGGAACATCTTCCCTAATGTCCTTTCTTCCATTCCCACCAAATCCCTCTCCATCCATGGACATGCTCTCCAACATTGCCACTGAGTTAAGGTCTAAAGGCTTAACCACTAAGTCCTATTGGCCTCTAGGATTTCCTCACCATGTGACCATATCCTTGGTCACTATACCAGAGGACTACTCCTCTTCCTTTCCATAGTCTGTGACTTTGGGATGACATTTCAAAACACTGTGGCCTTATGCAAGCCTCCTAAGTACTCTCTTCACCTTCCACTCTTAAGTTCTCTAGCCATATGGTTATAGTGAGGTTCTGATGAACCTTACTAGGTATTCAAGTAGGTAATGCCACCCACACTTGGATTGAGAACATTAACTATTTAATCTCCTAGGGGAGTTAAAGTCAGCTTTTGAACACTTCACCAAGTTACCCTACTTGTCTGTCTGTGTTCACTTTAGCCTTGGACTCCTTAGTGGTTATATCATCACCCAACACATCAGTATAGCCTTCCTTAGTAACATTGGTCTTTCTTGGCCAAACTAACTCCATTGGAGTCCTCCCCTTACTATACTTTTGGAGCTCACCAAACCCCCTAGAGTTTGGGAGATGAACACTTTGGGCTTTCACCCTCAGACTTGGACTTGGATTTAGACTAGAAGTCGGACTCGGTCTCGGTCTCGGTCTTGGTCTTGATCTTGGTCTTGGCTTCGACCTTGGATGCGACCTTAGACTCGATCTCAATCTCCATCTTGAATTTGACTTCAGACTACATCTCGAGTCTATCTCAGACTCCATCTTAAACTCTATCTCAAGTCCATCTCAGACTCCATCTTGAGTTCATATTGGACTCCATCTTGGATTCCATCTCAAGCCCATCTTGGACTTCATCTCGAGTCCATCTCGGGTCCATCTTGGACTTTATCTCGGGCTCTATCTCGGGTTTGTCTTGGGTCCATATTGGATTCTATCTTGGACTCCTTCTTGGACTCCATTTTAGACTCATTTTTAACACTTTCATATGTTATAACACTTACCATATGTTAGTCCTTCTTATGTCCCTTCTTAGAAATTCATTCAACAAGTGTTTTATACTCATCCTTTAAACACTTTGTTTGGGGTTTCACTCTTGCTCTTGAACTTTTCAAATTGGAGCTTTTGGTCCAAACATGTTACGTTTGTTGGACTTCTAATTTGATCACTACTATGTGCCACCCTTTTGGCTCCACTTTGAAGCTTAAGAATTTATATCTTATAATTCAATCCAACAAAGTAGCATTAATAACCTCAAGTGACATACTCTTTGATTGGTAACAACATGGCATGGTAAAAGAAGAAAATGCATTAAAGATTAGAAAAAAGAGTAAAACTAAGCATAATAATAGCTAGAATTCTAGATTTTGCACAAAGATAATACAAATCTAGATGCAAAAAAGAATGAACAAATAAAAACAAAAGGCAAGATCCCAAATACTAGAGTAAAGAACTACTAAAAAGTTTTGCCCTTTAGGGATAAATTGTAATGCCCCTCTCCTCCAGCAATGTGAGTGTTCAAGATATAGAAATAGGTATATTCATCAAGGTATAGATTTATTTATATATAAGATTGGATGTACCAAATTTAATCTTAAATGGACAATTCATATGCTTTAGTACTATAATTAGAGTATTATTTAGGCAAGGTAATACATATATATGCGTACATGTATTTATAAAACAAAATTCCCATCAAAAAAATTTAAGTTTACTATTAGATATATAATTCATCATTGACTCATATCTATATATTAAATATTATTTCAAAACTAAATAAATATTTATTGAAATAAAAATAATTGTATATATCAAAATCAGACAAACACAATAGATTTAATTATTGTATAACCTTAGCCAATAAAATATAAATTAATATTTATATTATTTCAATTTCAAAATGAAAATATTCATAACATTATTATCAAAAATTATTTATTTTATAATATATTTTTATACAATAAGTATGGTAAATGAATGTTTAAATAAAATTTAAAAACTTAAAAAATTTTAAGTAAAGGGCTGGAAGTGTATTCTAAGTTATGTAAATATTTATATAAAAATAATAAATTTTAATTTATGTATTTTCTAAAAAGATATTATACTTATAGCTCAACTTTTAATGTTCATAAAGAAGTTAAAGATGAATTTTAAGTAACTTTAAAATAAAAAATACTACTAATTGTAAATATATTTATCACTAGAAATAGAATTTAAAAAGAAAATTATAATTATTATGATTTAATAATAAATTTAAATTAAAAACAGTAGTAAAAAAACTTATAGCTAAATTAAATTTTTTGCATTTAAATAAAAATAAAATTATAACTGCATATTTGTTATAAAATCTTCCCTAATTTCAATATATCAAATATAGATTTATTTTTAAGCTAT